ATAAATTTGAATAATAGTTGTATTAACTGGTCTTCCTTGTAGGCATATGGATATCATCCTATCACTGAAGATGTTATGTACTTCAGGATAGATCTTGAAATGTCCAACTGAGAATCAGTGCGACGCTGTTCCTCTTCAATTTGTCATTCCCAGTGTGGTAGACCATATGATTGTCTGATTCAAATTGGCCAATACCAGTCCATATCAGCTCACTAATTCCTAGGATATGGTACATTCCACATTCTGATTATTAATGGATGTTTGCAGCTGTTTCTTCTTTGAGTTGTGCTACATCAACAAATGAAGGTCCGGAAAGCTTTTTTCCATCCGTGTTGTTAAGGTCAACTCTACTTTGAGGAAGTTACGTGTTTGGAAAAGGTGGATGTGATAGCCACAGAGAGGCACCACCCAGATTTCCTGCAAGAGAGGACTTGCTGACCATTTGGAGAGTGCAGTCTATGGACAAGAGCCCTGCCTAGGACAGCCAGATCTGGTGACTGGGTGAGGTTGAGGGTATAAAGGCTCACTGGACATCAGAACACCCCGTTTTGTAGTTTCCGCCTCTTCTTCTGTCCGATCCTGCTTCCTCCCCTCCCTTTGCAAATGTTGATCCCTAAGAAACATCTGGAACCCCAGACTCTGTCTCTGCATCTGCTTGAGGAGAACTCTACCTGCAACAGTGGATTTTGTTGTTTGCTTGCTTGTAAAGTGCATCAGTAGAGATTTGCAGCAGCAACTTCTACTGCAGCCCCACCCTCTGGTCCAGTCCAGGTGCTGGTGGAATCCAGCTGCCTTCTCAGAGCATGTTCTTCCTCTCCTCCTCTGGCCCTTGTCAGAAGTCTGGCACTTGAAGAATTTGGTCTTGGGCAAGGTGCTGAAGCTGACTGCTTTGTGGTTTTAAGCAGCCGCTTAAAAGGCTTTCTTGCTATGAGTATATTCTGCAATAAAGACCCATTTTAATTGTTAATGACATTAATCAATTAAAGATTTATCTGCCTTGGGAGAATGTCTCTACAACAATGTCTCTCCTGTCCACCTAAGAGTTGGTTAAGAAGGGATTGTTCACCTCCAATGGATACCTCTGTCTCTGCTCTTCCCTATTTCCAACCTCTTGGTGAATGGTTTCCTCCCTGGGTTCCCTATTTGCACAGCCTCTCCAATCACTCTTAATTTCCAGAAGAAATGGATTGCAAGAAAGGAGTATGGAGATGGGAGTTTGAAGGATGCAGTGAATGCCTTTTGGAAAAGCCTAACGGGGGGTTCGTGCCAGTCCTGCATTTGCTCAAGTGCTTTGTCATCTCTGCTAATACTGGGGACATCAGTGGGCCCTGGCTTATTCTTCAGGTCCCTTTAGAGATCTTCACTTCAGGGCTCTTTGTGCTGCAGCTCTTGTGCTGGTGGCATCATTCAGGTCCTTTCAAAACGCTCCTCTGTTCATCAAGTACCATCAGAGGGCAGAGCCATTCTTGATCTTCCCTGCTCACCCCCAATGGCTCAGTTTATTTTGTTGCTTGAATCCTCAGCTTATTTTCATGCTTTCACCTTCAGCCTAAACCAGCAACTGCTATGAGGTTTTTAGAGTCTGCATGAATTTTAGGGAGATAAAGAAGGCCTGCACGAAGCATTTGGCCATGTCTTGTTCAGCGCCTCCTTCTCTCTCTTCTTTTTTTGGGGCTCCCCTCCTTTGGGATTATGCTGACACAGTGATCTTGCTCTTCAGCTTACAGTGTCTGCCACGTGACTGCAGGTTAGCTGGGACCAAAGAGTGGACTTGGGATTTTCAGAGGAAGCTCTGCAGGTATTCGAAAGCCACCTTTGCTTAATGGATGCTTTTAAAGCTATAAGAAAGTTTTTGTTTGTTTGTTTGTTTTGTTTTATAATTAAAGGGCAAAGTAGACAGAAGATGTGGCTGAATAAAGTCTTTCATCTGTAGACAGTAACAGGCAAAGATCTGATCCCAAAGAAGTTGTTGAGCTTTTTATTTCTTGTTCGGTTTTCTCTGTAGGGGGAGAATGGTCTATAAAGGCACTCATCTGTGTCCATCTTCTTAATAACAGTCCTGCCACTGGATTTGCCTGGGGCAAGAGAACTCAGAAGTAGATACTATGCCACAGAGTCAAAACATTTCTTAAAGTCATATAGCTCACTCTCGTTATTTGGAAGGTTGGGAGGTGGGAAGAGCGTAAGGGACTGCTTGAAGACACACGCTGGGGAGGGGCAGTCTCTACCTCGTCCTTGAGGTCTCCCCCCATCATGCCGCCTCTCAGTGTTTTGTTCTTTTTCCACAATAGGCTCCTGCAAAAGAGGTCAGGATTTATTTGGGAACTCCTAATTCCCAACAGCTGGTGTCTTTGGCCGTTCCATGTTCAGACAACAAAGATACCCATCAGAATTTAGAAATGGTAATTTCTAGAGAGAAAGACGCGCAACACAAATGCCTCGATATGGAATACTCGCATGGGAATTTACTAAACCGTCAGCCCCCAATCTGAGTAGCTTGGTGTCACTCAGCTGTTATTCTTCTTAACGAAGATTTATTGGATAGAGTTTCACCTAGATTCCTTGAGCAAACTTTGGCATAACTCTAGATAAGCATTATTCTATATATATATGTTCAATATGTAACTACAAATAGTGATACTTGAGTAACTACAGATTAATGATGTACATGATAGGAAGTTCTTTCCATGAAGCACCATGGGAGTACAGCAAGACAGTGATTGAAGTCTACCTTTAATGTGGTTGACATGGGTCAACTAAGTTAGCATTGAGATGGGCAGAACTCACAGAAGAGAAGTGGGAATGGCATGAACGTAGTTTCAGACATTGTGAAAGTACAAAGTCCATGCATGGCCTGTTTGGTGAAGGGTGACTAGTTTAAAATGGTTCCAAACACGGAGAGTGATTGTCAGATATCATTACTTTGCAAGTTTAACTTCAGATTTTTTTTTTTTTAATTATGATGTAGATAATTATGGTTTTTCCTTGGTGAGCTTGGAAACATCTGGAATGATTTGGGGTAATATTGCTTGAATACAGAATAATAGTTATGGTGATCTCTGGGAATTCATTCTATCTCCTAAGTTATAAAACTAAGAAAATTGAAATGTGCAGCAAGGGCCTTGTGGACTCCTTGGGGTCCTAGCTAACACGAGTCCTGTTGTAGTATAGGGGCTTGGGCCTGCTGGAAAAATGGTTGCTTTTCCTCCCTCCCTCCCTTTGTCTCTTCCACCTTCCCTTTCATGCCTTCATCCATAAACATATATTAAGTAGTCATTGTGGGCAGACACTGTCTAGGTCCTGGAAATAAATGATGACCAAGCCTGTGCCCTCCAGTTGCACTCAGAAAACAGACTATTACAATGCTGAGTAATAAGTATCAGGGGTCATGGGAGCACATAGGAAGAGCACCTAAACCAGTTTTGGAGCCCTACGTAAAGAAGGTTTTGGAGAAAGCTGGAGCCTGAAGGACCAGTAGTAGGAACTAGCCAGACTAAGAAGGGGAGAGAAAGGAGAAACAGAGATGTTCAGAGAACATATTATGTTCAAAGCCATGAGCCAAAAGAAAGAGAACCTGGTCCCTGGCAGAACCACAGGTAGCTTAGTGTGAGCAAACAGTGGAGAGAATGAGGGGAGTGGTAAGAAGTAAGGCTGAGAGCATAAATGGGCTAGATAATGAAGAGCTTCATGTGCCAACCTCACTATCTATGGCATTATCCTAAGGCCGATAGCTATCACTGAAGAGCTTTAAGCAGGAGAGTACATGCACCACTATGGCTGGAGTGTTGAGAAGGGACTGAATAGATTGAATGAAGGGTGACCAGTTAGGAGTGTGTTGCAGTGGTCCAAAACCAGTTGCCATCTAGTCAACTCTGTCTCATGGTGACCCCATGTGTGTCAGAGTAGAACTGTGCTCCATAGGGTTTTCAATGGCCAGTTTTTCAGAAGTAGATGGTCAGCCTTTCTTTCGAGGCACCTCTGGGTAGACTCAAACCTCCAACCTTTCTATTAGCAGCTGAGCACGTTAACTATTTGCACCACCCAGGGATTCCTGCAGTAGTCCAGGAGAGAGATAATGAGAGCCTAAACTGGAGTAGGAGCAGCAGTGATACAGAAAATGGGACAGATTCAAGAGATAATTAGAAGCTGAAACTGATTAGAGCTGGTGTTTTGATGTGGGTGGTAAAAGACAGGCAGAAATCCAAGATGATGGTCAGATTTCTGTCCTGGTTACCCAAATGAACTGTGCAACCATTGACAGGGAAGGAGGACAGAGCAAAGGGGAGCAGGTTTCAGGGGGAGAGTTTGGCATTGGTCCTGTTGAGTTGGCAGTGCCTGGAGGCCATCCAAGAAAATAATACTGGCATTCCACCTTTGCTTTCAGGTGTCATAACACTAGAGGTAGTGAGCTGTAGCCTGTCAGGGCTGGAGGGACTTGAGGATTTGGCAAGCACCTCTAATTTGATGCATGAGGAAAGTGGAATCCAGAGAGGTGGAACAACTTGCGTAGGGTCACACAACTACTTTAGTGGCTGATCTGCTACTAGAACGAAAGCCTCTGGCACCTCAATCCAGGAGTGTTTCCACTCCTGCTGTTAGTTTAACAGCCGCTAGAAAACATGTAGAAATAAATTTGCATGGCCATGTTGTCCTTTGTTTTGGAAGAACTGCTAAAAGTAAAAATGTGGGCCATAAATCCACGTGGGGGCTATGCCCCATTTACATCTCATTTGGTTCCATCTGCCCTGTCTTACCATGATTATGGCAACTTCGTTAGGCAAGTGGTTGCTTACCACCGTGGAAAGCCTTAATTACTCCTTAATAGCTGTGTACAGCGGGGAAGGCAACTTTAATGTTTAATCATTTAGTTGCCTGTTGAAAAGGTTTGTTTTAGTATTCTATTTGTGTATCCATAAAAACAAACAAAAAAAAAAAACCCAAACCCGTTGCCATCGAGTCAATTCCAACTCTTAGTGACCCTATAGGACAGAGAAGAACTTCCCCATAGGGTTTCCAAGGAGTGCCTGGTGGATTCGAACTGCTGACCTTTTGGTTAGCAGCCATAGCTTTCAACCACTATGCCACCAGGGTTTCCAATCCATAAAATATAGAAATGCATATTTGTTTCTTCTCAATTTTCATTGCAGATTTCAGTGACACCAAAATATTTTCTTTTTAAAGTATTATTGCTGTGTAAATATAGTAACTTTAATGAAAATTTAAAAACCCACCCACAATCTTTCCATAATAACAACAGAAACTAATCAAGCTTTATGTTCTTGGAGTCGCTTTCTTTATGCAAACATATGGTAATCCTTACTTACATTTACTTTGCTAACCTTTTTTTCACTCATTAAATATTTTACCATGTTTGTTTGTTCCTTCGTGTGTTCGTTTATTCCTTCATCCATTCAGCAAACAATTGACCATTTTCTGGATGCTAGACTCTCTGCAGGGTGTTGGGGGTATAGTAGTGACAGTCCTCATAAAGGTGACATAGGGAGGGTCAGGGAGAGTTTGGGTGGGTCACATGTAAAACAGATAACCAGTAAAGGCAAGTAGAAAAACAAATGCTATTGGGATAATAAATATGGCCCAGGATATTCTTTTCGTGTTATAAGTATAACATAACTGACTTAACTGCTTTCTTCCTGTTAGACATGGAATCCTTTGGGCCCTCAGTAGGAAACGTGGCATAGCCAAATGAAGAGAAATAGAAGTGTTTCGCACAGGATAGTTTACAAAGGTGTGGTTAGGGTGTATGGAAATCCTCACGGTGGTGCACTTCCCCAGTACCAGGGTACAATGGTTAAGCTCACAGGCTGCTAACCAAAAGGTCAGCGGTTTGAACCCACCAGCTGCTCCGCGGGAGAAAAGACCTGGCAATCTGCTCCTGTACAGATTACAGCCTAGAAAACCCTATGGTGGCAATTCTACTCTGTCTTATAGGATCACTATGAGTCAAAATTGACTCAAGGGCTCACAGCAACAGTGTACTGTAAAGCACCTCTAAGCATACAGAAGCCAGGAGAGGGAGAGGTCTCTGGAACCTGGAAGGGAGAACTGGGTAGAGAGGACATCTTGAGAGAAACACTGATGAGTTGAAGGAAACAATCAACCCAAGGCGACCTTGCAGAGAGGGAGTTAGGAGAGTCAGTACCCCGAGCTTCCTCTCCTCTCTTCCTCTGATGTTCCTTTGATTTTCTGTTGGGCTCCCTGCTATTTGGACTCGATAGAAGCTAGTGGGCAAGAGAGTCTGTGGGTGCAGTCCACAGAGGTCAGCTCCCCAGGGCAAAGAGTAGCGGGCAAGTAGATCTGGAGGGGCAAATAGGATATCCAGCACAGACAGTGCTGTGTAAATTATTTGTCAGAAAGCACTGGATATACAACTGTGCAATACAGTATAATGAAGTAAGGGGTGGGGATAGAGGGCTGGAACTAGGAAACTGGGACATAGTAGGATAATTGGGTAAAATTTGCTGCTTGTGGATGTGTTTTGCTTATCTTTAAGCATAAGCAAATGTGAGATTTTATTTCTGTATTTGCTTAAGGTTTATAATGTATCACAGACATAGTGGACCTTGATTCGAGCTCTGGCCGTTCATTCATTCATTCAACAAACATTTCCCCACCTTTTTATTGAGATTTAACTTATGTGTGATAAAGGACAAAGATCTTTGTGTAGAGCTTGATGAAATTTTACATATGTAGACACCTACGTAACCACTACCCAGATTTAGGTATAGAAGTTTCTAGCACTCCAGGATGCTCTCTTGTGCCCCTTCCCATTCACTGCATCTTTACCCCCCACATTCAGCACTGTGAGGATGTTTATGAGCTTCAGTTAGTCTGGTTAGCTCGGCTGCTAACCAAAAGGTCAGCAATTCGAATCTACCAACTGCTTCTTAGAAACCCTCTGAGGCAGCCCTACTCTGTCCTGTAGGGTCGCTAGGGGTCGGAATCGACTCGATGGCAACAGGTTTCAATCTTCATATTAATAGAACCGTATCGTTTCCATCCTTCTGTGGCCGGCTCCTTTCCCTCCTTGTTATGTCTATAAGATTCTTTTCTTTGTGTGGTTTGCATGTATCAGTACTTCATTGTTTTTCATTGCTGGTGTTTCCATGGGGATTCTTTTTTGGCATTTCTTGGGAAATTTGTTTTTCTGATTTCTAGGAAAAATCAGTCAAGGAATTGGGAAACTAAGAAAAATAATCATCCTGCGAGAATTAAAGCTTGACAATCAACATACAGACATTACTGGTTGGAAGGCATCCAGTGATGACAAATGGAAAACAGGAGCAGGGACCAGTGGAGTGAAAGAAGGCGAAGATCACTATTCCCGGGAACTGGGACAGGAGCACAGAGGAGAGAAGAGGCCAGTCTCTCTGGTCAGTCTTGCTTGTAGCTGAAGGCGTTGCTGTGTTGTGAGCGTGCGTTCTGGTCTTTTCTGCTAAAAGTGAGCCCTTGGCCCAAACGAAGTAAATATGAATACTTTTATATGTATAGTATACTTTATAGTAACCCTATAAACAGTGCATTCTGTGGGTCAAGTTTTGGAAGCAAAATAAGCCCGTGAATTGGCAGTCTCAACATGGGATTCGTGTAGCGCTGATAACCTTGCTACAAGCTCCTTATATTGTTATTCAACCACTACTCCATGATGTTCACTGGCGTTTTCCAGTGTTAGAATATCTGCTATAAGCTATAGTTCTTTGTAAATAATACTAAACTGAATATTTCTTATTTGTTAAATAGTTCTTTTAGACAGCCTAATAATGAGTAAAGAGTATGAAGGCTGTTGTACGTATGTACAGGTAGTCCCCAACTTATGACGTATTTGAGTTAGGATGAACCGCACTTACGACCTTCAGTGTTTTGTTTTGTTTTTTGTTACATCTTATGCTTAGTAATATATGCTACATACAGTGTTGCCGTGCATAATTTGCTGATGTATCATTCTCATGTCAACCCCTAAAGACAAATAATGATTGAATTTATAAGGATACTGATAATGAAAGGCAATAATAATGAAAACTGAAAAAAAAATAAGGTATTCGACTTATGTCAGAATGATTCCAACTCATAGTGACCCTATAGGACAGAGTAGAACTGTTCTTTAGGGTTTCTAAGCTGTAATCTTTATGGAAGCAGATTGCCAGGTCTTTTCTCCTGTGGAGCTGCTGGTGGGTTCGAACCACTGACCTTTTGGTTAGCAGCCAAGTGCTTGAGCACTGTGCCACCAGGGCTTCTGCTGAATCTTAGAGATATTAGAAACCTTTCTCCTTTGGACATGGTGCAGTCCAGTCCTTCCATTTTACAGATCAGAAAACGGAGCCCTTATGTGTTTAAAAATTTTGCCTGCATCTTCCAGTCCTCCCTCCCCCATAGAGGTGATTTCTTTGCAAACGGATGACTGATTTGAATAGGAATGGAAGAAATCAATGGTCAGTGACAGCCCTCCCCCATTAACTGGCAGTTAGGCGTTTCTACAGCAGTGAAGTGCTAGACAATGCAACATCAACTTGCTTAAGCAAAATATGAAGTGTTGACTTGGGTCACTGCAAAATCCAGGGGTAGGGCAGGCTTGGTCAAAGGAATCACGTGATATCATCTGTCCTTGCTTCTCCCCCTTTCCTGGCTCTGTCTCCACTGCATGACTCCATGTTCAGGGCGGTCCTCCACTCCTGCTCCAGCTGCCTCTTCTGTTTGCAGTCCAGCTCTCCTCCAGCCTTCCTGGCACAGCCTCACTATGTCTCACAGTGAATCAGTCAATCTCCGTGATCAGAAAGATTATCAGGCCAACTGGTTTAGTGAGTGTAACTACCCTTGGAATGATGGGAGGTGAATTGCCACCTTTTATGTGGACCGAGACTGGGGAAGGGCTGGGTCCCTGTCTTAGTTACCTAGTGCTGCTGTAACAAAAAATACTACAAGTGGGTGGCTTTAAAGAACAGAAATTTACTTGCTCATGGTTGAAGAAGCTAGAAGTCCAATTTAAAGTTTCTGTTGCTTTCTTAACCTGAGCATTTGGGGGAAATTCTGAGCCCTACACGTGAACCCTTAGCTTAATTTAATAATATTCAGGGAGGAGCCCAACAGGGCAAAAGACGAATGGCTCTCTTCTGAGTTTCTGATCAACGATTTCAGTATTATCTTTGGTATGTCCTTGTTATCTCCTTCTATGGCCTTGCCTCTTAATGGTGGCTTTTGGTTACCACACGCATACCGAAACAGGGGAACCAACAGCTGGTCAGAGAGAGGAGCTCAAGGGGGCTGGTGGACCGGGTCTGTTCCCTGAGCTGCATTGCAGCCACATGCATCCCATAACTTCAATTTCTACCCCCAACCCCACTTTTTCACTAAGACCTGGGAATTCAGAATGTGGACACGTGATTATTTGGATCATGGGAGTGAACTGTCTCTTACTGGGAAGATGAAGGAAAGCAGAACCTGCTTTTTTGGCCTTTCTGATGGAATCTTCATCCTGGTAATTGCAATAATTTCCGTTTACTCCTGTGGAACAGTTTTCCCAGTATATGATCCCAGAAGCCTTTGTTACCATGCTTCAAATGCAAAAGAAGAAAAAGAAAAAAACAAGCAAAAGAATTCAAAGGGTGACAGCCTCCCAGGGTCAGGAGGCTGGGTTTGAATCTTGGGTCAGCCTCTAGCTTGCACTTGGTCTAACCTCTGGGCTTCCTTCCACCGTCGTCAACACTGCTCAGCTCCCGTGGCTGCTACCAGAATAAAACCCAGTGCCATTATGAGAGCACTCTGCAAGAGTGGAAAGCTCTAGATGCAAGAGGTTATATAATTCTGTTTTAAGAAAGCTTGCAGCTGTCAGGCGTGACACACTGACATATCTCATGTGCCTTCACTGTTGGAAGCAGCTGTGAGCTTCATGTTTGCCTCTCCCTTCTCCATCTGCCAGTGAGGAAAAATGAATGGATTAAAAATGTGTTGGCAGAGGGGCACACCATCTGAAATCTCTTCTGTCTAGTGTTTCATGACTGAGTATGTTCGTTTTGATATCCCCATTGAAACTGCAAGGTGGGTATAACCAATGCGGAAGGAGAAGTATGGTGCCCTAGTCACTCTAAAATGGAAACATGGAAAACAATGAAAATAACATGGTGCTCTGGGGAGTAACTGAACAAGACTGTTAAAAATTGGAGCTGGGGTTGGCTAAGCATGTGTGGGGTCTTCTAGGCTAGTTTGTGCACAAGCTCAGCTGCTTCTACATAGCTCTTGAGTTTCATTTCTTGTCCCTGCCTCCTCATACTCTACATCCACCCATATTTGAGTGTAAGACCTTTGAACAGGGTTTGTCATCTCTTGAAAGCACTTCCCTACCTTGTTCACCAAGAATGCCTACTTATTTAAGATCTAGTGCACAAGTAACTCACAGGTAACCATTCTTTCCTATACATTCCTTTCCTTTACGTTTCCTGTGTAAATGCCTCTGTCACAGCCTCCAGCACTAATACAGGGGTGTCAGTAAAATTATGTCTTTACATGCTTGGTGGACAGTTAGCTCTTTGAGGGCAAGACTCATGTCTCCTTCATCCCCGCATCCTCAAGGCTTAGCAGAATTCTTGGCACATATCAAGTACTCAGTAAATGCTTAATACGTGCCTGAATGAATTAAGAAGAAAAAACATTAAACCAGTTTTCTTAACATTTCTTAAGGTTCAAGCATTAATGTTCGTGCTCCATCAAAATTCCCACTTGGAAAATAACTCTGAGTTTCTAAAACAAAGAGCATTACCAAGTTCAGGTGTTGGTACATTGACCTCTTATCATGGAGTCTAGGTGATTTAACTCCTCAGCCTCTCTTCCAAGTGATTGTCTAGCCTCTGCTTCAACTTCTCCAGCAGGGGGAGTTATTTTCTCTGGAGGTAGATATTCTGTATTGAGCAGCTGAAGCTTTCAGGGAATTTTTCCTTTTATTAGGTTCAAATCAACTTACCTGCAGTTTCAATTGTTCTACCATTAGGGTTTGTTATGGATTGAATTATGTGCCCCAAAAATGTGTGTTAACTTGGCTAGGCCATGATTCCTAGTATTGTGTAGTTGTCCAGCATTTTGTGATCTGATGTGATTTTCCTACGTATTGTAAATCCTAATCTCTGCCTGTGGTTATTGAGGCAAGATGAGGTTATATTAAAGAGGATTAGGGTGCGATGCAACACCCTGCTTACGTCACAGCCCTGATCCCATGTAAGGGGAGTTTCCCTGGGGTGTGGCCTGCATCACCTCTATCTTACAAGAGATAAAGAGAGAGAAGTGAGCAGAGCAGAGAGATTGGGACCTCATTACCACCAAGCAAGAAGTGCCAGGAGTGGAGTGCGTCTTTTGGACCCTGGGTCCTTGCGCTGAGAAGCTCCTAGACCAGAGGAAGATTGATGACAAGGACCTTTCCCCAGAGCCAACAGAGAGAGAAAGCCTTCCCCTGGAGTTGGCGCCTTGAATTTGGACTTCTAGCCTTCTAGACTGTAACATTTCTGTTTGTTAAAGCCATCCACTTGTGGTATTTCTGTTATAGCAGCACTGGATGTCTAAGACAGGGCTATTGGAATAATAAGCTACCCCTTTCTGGGGCAGGGGGAGGAGGAGCTTTCAGTTTTTGAAGATGGTGCTCTTGGCCCCATGTCTTCTTTTCTCTAAATAGTCCCCGGAACTTCCTGGTTGTCCTCAAGTTGTGTGAAACTAAACTTAAATCTTCTCAGGTGTGACATGAGCAGCGCAGAACGAAGCTGACCCATCTCCTTCCAGGGAATCGACGTCTTTGCATGTAGCCTTAGTCACACTGTCTCCACAGTCACAGCACATCCTTGAAACATTTTGAACTTACTCTTGGTTGCATGTGACGCTACTAAGCCCTGTTCTTCTCATTTAGCATTTGGACCCCAGAGCACAGCCTGGCCCTTGTGTGGTTATATTTTACCTTGTTGTATGTTGCACTCTCCTGCAGCCCTAATCTGTGGAAACATCTTCATCAGAGATTTGCCATTGCACGTTTTAGGATGATAGTTGTGGTGGGGAGACAGTGAAGGCAGGCTCCATCACTGTAAATAAGTCTCTGTGAGTGGTCCCCGTGTGATTCTCCATTCTCAGACAGCTGATCAGAACAAATCCCAGATATAATTTGTGGATGGCTGTGGAAAGGCGATGCGTTCTTCTACCGCTGCTCCTGGGCTGCTGAGGTGAGGACAGCTCCTTCATCCCGTTTTGAGCGTTCTTCTTTAACACTTGGGGTACTAGTTAGATACAGGCGGCCTCTGGTGGTCCCAACCTTTTCTACTTGAACACATTTACATAGATGAATAAATAAGTACCATTCGTGGTCAGAACCAGAAGGGACAGGGAGAGGATAATCTGAATGTAGCAT